GTCACAGAAGCTTTTCATCTATGAACATGGTATAACTTTCTTTACTATAAATCCAACTGTGTTGGGCCTTCTGTTATGTGCTACATTCTTCCTTTTTTTTTAACAACCTAGAACAAAATATCATTTTCTTGTGGGCGACTCATTTCCTTATACATCAAATAAGGGTCCCAAATCTCTCTATGTTAATAAGACTGAAGGACCGTATATTTAGACACTACATTGTTTGAAAGATTTTACAAATATATCATAGCAAATGCTTTTATGTCACTGGGGTCAAGAATTTGTCAGTGACACCCAGAGTGATATGAAAAGCCATGTTAGCTGAACCTAAATTTTTAACTGTTGCTGCATATTCTACTCAGGTTTTCCAGAAATATCATATTTTTGAGCTACATTTAACTGTGAGAAGCAGACTTTTTTCAGCACCTCTTACTTATTTTTACTTTATGTAGAAATTAGACTCTTCATAGTCCCAGAAAGGATTTGAGGTGACTTACAATTTTATAGCACTTCCAAGGTACCAATTGTTTTAAGGCAGAACACAAATCACCTAGGAAAAATGACATAATTGTACAAGGAATCTAGAATGACTCTGTTTCTGAAATTATGTACTAAATATAACCCTGAGATTCCTAGCAGCCAATGCAACAAGGGAAATGTGAAATCTTATTGTCTGTTAAAAGAAAGTGTATAGTTTACTTGAAAATCTTATTGCTAAAGGCTGGGAGAGACATATCCCATATGGAAACCACATTGCATAACATAATGAGAAATGCCTTTAATGCATTTGTTTATCCACAACTTTGTTGTTGAGCAAGCACTTGGAGACCTTGGGGCACATGTTTCACATGACAGGAAATGCTAATCTCTGTGATGAGGAAGTCAAACAGTCTCTCCAGTTCAAACAGCACAGAATCGTGGGAATCACAGAAAGAGCTTCCTGTGCACTGGCTCACAGACCATGTGTTCTCTCTTTGTTTTACATGAAGAACCCACATCGTTTTATATTAGAGATACCATTGAAATTACACAAATCAGTTATATTAAATGTAAACACAAAACTCACTGATAATTTTAGAAATTAGCCAGTATGCTAGCAGGATACAGGGTAAACTCACCAGTGACTGCAGCTCTAAAGCCTGGCAGTTGCATGTGTTTGGGGAGGAAGTGACGTCACTGAGTGGGACCATGTCACTGGCATAGACCAGGTCCCTCTCATCCCTCCTTGTGTCCAGCCAACCAACACTTACATGCTCACTGAGTGTTTAGTGGATACATGGATGCTGCCTTCACTTCACCTGGGACCTTCTTATATCTTCTGACCCAAATGCTCACACAAACCGTAAAAAATCGTACATTTTGCAGGACCAATAACCTGAGGGTCTGGATGAATCTGTGACCATCCCGGTCAAGGCAGCAGGTGACTGGCTCTCTGGTGTAGACAACACTGCTCAGAATAGCCCCTCAGATGGGAGGACCTTAGGAGACTCCCATGTCCTCAGAGGTCCTGGTCCTTCGCTGGTGCTGGAGGGAAGCCCCGTGAGGGTCAGGACCTGAGTCCTGCTCCCTGTCTGCTCCTCTCTGGGTGGGTCTCTGGGTCTCTGGTCTGTGGGGTGTCCAACCTCAGTGCTTAGGGGGAAAGAGCTTCATCTCTGAGGTTCCTCTTCTGTGAACGGGGAGGCCCCGTGCTCC